TGTTGTTTTTGGTTCTTCGCTCGAGCGAGGAGTTTGTCGCTCGAGCGAGCAGTTGTTTTTTGGTTCTTCGCTCGAGCGAGGAGTTTGTCGCTCGAGCGAGCAGTTGTTTTTTGGTTCTTCGCTCGAGCGAGGAGTTTGTCGCTCGAGCGAGCAGTTGTTTTTTGGTTCTTCGCTCGAGCGAGGAGTTTGTCGCTCGAGCGAGCAGTTGTTTTTTGGTTCTTCGCTCGAGCGAGGAGTTTGTCGCTCGAGCGAGCAGTTGTTTTTTGGTTCTTCGCTCGAGCGAGGAGTTTGTCGCTCGAGCGAGCAGTTGTTTTTTGGTTCTTCGCTCGAGCGAGGAGTTTGTCGCTCGAGCGAGCTCCAGATTTTTGGTTCTTCGCTCGAGCGAGGAGTTGGTCGCTCGAGCGAGCTGTTGTTTTTGGTTCTTCGCTCGAGCCGGGGTTTGGTCGCTCGAGCGAGAGTTTGCGTCTGGTATGGACCTGTAGCTTTGCATTCTTGGCTCGAGCGAGCTTTTCTTTGCTCGAGCGAGGATTTCTTGTTTCTGGTCGCTCGAGCGACCAAGTCTTCGCTCGAGCGAGCCTGTCCAGTTTATATACGCAGCAGCGGGTTTTGATCAGTCTTTTTCTTACTCTTTTTGGTTCTAAGCCCTAGGTCCGACTTCTCTCTCTCTCTACTCACCTTCTCTCTTAGATTTGATCCACTTAGGGTGTGTTTCTACCCTAGATCCTTCATTAAAAAGGTAGAGTGAGTCGAGGGCTTCCATTTAATCTGAACGTTTGGTGATTTGGAGCACATTGGAATTTGGGTCTTCATCTCTGTCTTCTCCTTTCGGGTTATTTTCTTCGAGGTAGGGATTTCCTACTCCATTCTATAGGTTTTGTTCTAAGTTTTGGTATTTTGATATGTTGGGAATACTTTGGAAATTTTGGGAAAAACCCTAGTTGTATTAATTAATTAATTTGTATAATTAATTTAAGGGAATTGGGGAAATTGGTTAAATTCATGAAATTGGGAAATTTGTTGATTAAATGGTGTAGTTGAATAATGTAAATCACTCGCCTGTTGAATTGTTGGTATATTTATTTCCAGTCTAGAAATAACTGTTTTTGGGCTATCGGTGGAGGATAGTCGTGATTGTTGTAGACATTGCATGTGGATTAGGAAAAACTGAAACTAATCACATTGGTTAAGTCATTGATTTAGACTGTTGAATTAATACAGAAAATACATGTATTGATTGTGTGTTGTATATGACGAGTGTTTAATACATTGTATATGCATTTTTGTTTGGGAGGAGATAGGGGATGGACTCCATTAGCATCACTTTTATGTGTGCTTATTTATATTGAAGTGTTTTTATTGATACAGCACTAAAATGTGTATCAAACTGGAAGTATGAAGTGTTTTGACTTGAGCCTGAGTCTCATCTGTTTGTTGACATGGGAAGAATGTGAATATAATATATATATATAGTTCACTGTTGCAAGTTTGGCCAGGTTCTGAGCCTTATTGATAATGTTGGAAAGTAAAACGAGTTTTAGACATTAGTGTCATGAGACTGTTTGATGATGTAATTGATTATCCTGGTTAACCATCTATTAAATACTGATGCTTTATTCAATGCTTATATTTGGTTTAGTATATTTCTACTGGGCTGTGGCTCACCCTTTATGGGAACATCATTTTCAGGTCCAGGTGATAAGCTACCTCCCAGGACTTAGCTTGGAAGGATTTGGATTGTGAAGACTATCTTTAGTTCACTACAAGAAATTGCACTTTTGGCAACTACATTTGGCGACGACGTCAATTTTTCATAGCCAAAAGTATATTTTTGGCGACACAGTGATGAATTTTGTTGGTAAAAGTAGACCTTTACCGATGCAATTTACTATCGTCGCTAAAAAAGCATAACATTCTTTAAGCGCCAAAATTATTTGTTGGCGCCAAAATTTCAAAAGTTTTAGCTACGAGGCTTATTTTTTACCAACACAATAAGTATTGCTATTAGTGTGCTTACTTTTGGTGACGATAAGTTGGTGTGGGCAAAGAATTAAACATTTAGCGACGATAACACTGTTCGTTGGTAAATGTTTTACTAGTGAAACAGGTGATTTATTGATTTGTGTTTTTATTATAATTTTTGAAAGAGTTTTAAATATTCTAGTTATTGAATTGTAAAATCAAAGTGATCATTGAATTAGATCATAAAATGAACCCATCAAGGCCAAACATACTCTTAAATTGAGATTGCTAATTTGAGTTAATTTAAACTTTTCTAAATAATGTGGTTAGATTATCAATTTCAATATGTTTGGTTTTATTTTCAGATTCTTTTCATTGTGGTTTTATGTTTGGTTTTATTTTCATAAATTAGTTTAATTTTTTTTTCCTAAAAAATTATAAAAAAAAAATTTGGGTGAAAAAATAAAAAATATACTTATTATTTTTATATAATTTTATCTTTTAGGTCATACACTACAATAAAATTGATTTTTTTACCAAACCACGTCGACGACCTACAAGACACTGATAGTGGGTTCTAATCATAAGTAACATAGAAGAAACAGAGGGAGAAGAAAGACAGTGAATTGGTTGGAAGAGGAAAGGGTTCTTCAAACCCTTGTTCTTCAAAGTTCTACTATCAATTGAATCGGTGGAGATTGAGAGGTAAACACGGTAGTCTCGAAGCCCTTTGGAGGTTCTTTAAAGCCATGCGATGTGTCGCCGTACACAAAACAAAAAGAGGATCTTGCTGTGAGAGGCAAATGGTACTCTTATCTTTTCGGCGGCAAGACTAATTCGACGGTAAGGCACTCTTCTCATCTCTTCTCTCTTCTCTTCCTTGTTCCTAAAACCCTTGTTTTGGCTCTCTCTCGCTCTCACTCTCACTCTCGCATTCGGTGTAGTTGGCGGTGTGATTAGAGTGGCTGTGGGTAATTTCACTTTACCTAAAACCCTAATCCAACAAAGAAAGAGAAAATAATTTGAAGAACAATCAGAAAATCTGAAGGTATTCCTCTCTCAATTGATTATTTTTGAAACCCTCCCTCTCCTGAAACCCTATTTTCTCTCTCTGAAATCGTCCCTCTTGTAAAATCCTCTTCTCTCTAACTTTTCCCCTCTTTTCTCTGTGTTTGGTTCTCTCAGAATTCTGATTCCAATCTTTCTTGGCTCTTACAGATTTGGTATTTTTACATTTGAAATGAGGCTTGCTAAAATTTTATTTTATTTTATTTTGTTTTTTCATATATTTCAGTTGACAAGTAATGAAATAATCGATGAATATTCTCAGGCATTGGGCTTTTTACGGGGGAAAGAACTCATTCATCATTCTGAAGCTTCAACTATGAAAATTATGATTGTCCACCAATATAACCCAATTTCTTGACAACCTCACTTATAACACATGCACAGCCATTGCGTTGGCTGTATCATCACAAATGGACTTAGAAGGAAATTTTTTTTATGAACATCAAAATTTGTAATGGTGGACCAAAGCTTTCCCACCAACATGTCAATGCCATGAAAACAAAATTAACAAGAGAGTTGTAACTGAAATAATCAAGCATTCAGTGCCCCCCATTTGAAGATGACCAGCAATCAATGCATTCCATTTTTTCTGAAAATTGAGGCCACTATATTAATGGCCTACACTTGATACATAGTGTCCTTTAGACTCTTGTTCACACTTGAAAACAGACCCCTAATGTTCTACAGAAGCATGCAGTTTAAATTTTATTTTTAATATGCTTTTACCACTTCGTATGTTCTTGAATCTCAAGTTCTCTCTTTGGCAAGATTATGAATCCATTCTGAAATATTTTAAATACATATCAGGTTGATCATTAAAGCAGTCTATTAACAATATTCTAGCGAAAATCAAAATGCTGATTATTTAATTCAGTGTAGCCCTTGCTATAACCAAATGAATAATTTTGTTCTTGTTGAAAGTGTCATCAATAGCTTGCAGCCAAATGTATAAGTTTCAAACAACCAAGAAAAGTGTATAAATATTCTACGTAGGTTGATATTATCTCTTGTTTTGATTGATTTTGACCAAATGGTTAGATTTTTATAATAACACAAATTGTTACAACTAACAAATGATTACACAGTTTTGTCAATTCTCAATGCCAGTTTGAATAATAGGGTCTAGGGAACATCATTAATGATTTCACTTATTTAATGGTTTTGGTTTAGTTTAGGAATCTTTTTTCTGGGAACGAAATCAGTTTTATCCTTCATATTCTATCATCAAGAGCTTTACTACTATGCACTATTCTCTCTTTTGTAAAAATTTTTGGTGAAATTCTGGAACTTCTGTCGTTTGGAGGTTCTTGAATGTATAAAGTTTTTTAGAGTTACATATTGATTAATGTGTCAATTGTGGCTTAGTTGATGTCAATGTGACTCGATTTTTTGCTTTGTCATCTTCTGTTTATTATTCTGATCCCTTGAAGTCATTTTGAGACCATGTTTTTCCATTTCACATATTTTATGTACATTTGTTTATTTAGGAATTCATGGAAAGAAATCTCCTCGCTTTGAATGTCATGTGGAAGTACATGGAGCAGGTGAGCAAATTTTTGTCCAAAAACTTCTGGTTATAGATGAAGTGTTTGATTTATATAAAATTTCTGAAATATGCTGAATATGATGAACATTTTGATGAAAAATTGTAAGCTTCATATCACTGTTATGCTGTAGTCAGTGATCTATTTTCTCATGGTACAAGATATTTTTAATTGGATCAAATGACTGTTATCCATCTGTTAATTATCATAGTTCTTTTTCTCTTAGAGCAGTATTGAATTGAATTTAAATTATTGCTATCTTCACTATTTTTTTTTGATGTTGGACAACATGATTGATGGGATTTTAGGCCTGTAGGGTTTTAGGGTTTATAACGGATGTAACAAAGGAATTAGGATTTTGAAGTCTAAAGAAGCAAGGTGAATTTTAGGGCTGTTCTGGGTTCTGTTAACAGTATCCTGGCTAGTTTTAGATTATTTAGGTTTGTTAAATGAAGTTTGGATCTTGGTAGAGGCATAATAAGGTTTGGTTATGGCTCTTAATGACTTGAAAGAGTAAAAAAATTAGAATAAAAAAAAAAAAAAAGGGAAGAAGAAACTCTATATAATCCTTTAGGCATTGCATGTACTACTAAATTTCATCACACAATACCAAAGAGCTACAGTAGTCACTGGAAGTGATTTAAAGCTTATTCAATACTGAATTGGAGGCATTATGTGTGACACTCATGACGCAAACTGCACCGTCATCGGATAAGGGATTTGACCAGTAGATAGCCATGAGGCCTACTTATATCAAGTGAAATGTGCATTTGGAAATATATGATTCATTTGAAATTTCTCTTTAGCGAAAGCATGCTGTAATAGAACCTGCGTAATCCTAGTGATACCATAAACCCATTAGAGCAAGTGCTTACGTCAGAATATCATTCATGTGCTATTTACAAAGTGGGTGTACATTTTGTACATAATTGGCCATAATTCAAAGACATCAATACATATGACCTGATAATCAATTTCAAGGACCAACCAAAAGCATGTTGGAATAAAACTTGTGTAATCGTAGTGGTACCATAAACCCATCAGAGCAAATGCTTAAATGTCGTTTATATGCTGTGTACAAAATGGGTGTAGATTTTGTACATAAGTGGCCATAATTCAAAGACCTCAATACATATGACATGATCAATTTGAAGGACCCATTGGCCATACATATATACATCATGGCATGCACAATGTCTTCCATCTTGGTTTCTACTTTCTAGATCAATGAAATGATCTCCTTAGCTTTGTACATAAATACATGTAAACGCTTGACATCTTTTCTAAACTCCCATCACCTGAAAACTTTTAAGATGGAATGGTGTGAGCCAACGCTCAGCGATAATAGCATACCAAGTGCACAAAAGAATCTACATGGATATCATCATATACATGTACCAAAACAGAGCTCATTTATAAATCAAAGTTTATATATAAAATAAACTTCATATTCTAAACTAGAGTCTTTAGAGATTTTATAAAGATACATATAATGTTCTTTGCCAGCGGAAAACTGTATGATCGTGTATCATATAGTTATACAAAAAGTCATATGATGACCTCCCAGAATCCCTATAATGATGTAATGATATGAGGCCATCACAGCAGAACTAATACAGAGGGATATCCAAGCCAACTACCAAAACCAAAACATATAAGCCACTTTTTTGCAGCAAGGGTTAGATATCTCAGTTTTTCTTTGAATACATTGAATTTGGCACAATAGAGGAAATTGATTCCTTTTTCTTTAGGTTTTTGTAAGTGCCCAGTTTGCTAGGATTTGTTTGAGAAGTATGTAGTTTACAATATATTGATGTGGTTTGTTTTCTGCACTTAAATCGTGTCATTTTAAGCCTACTATAGTAATGCTTATACTAATTCTCTCTTTTTATGTGTCTCTCTGATTTCTTTTGGTCTCTTATTGGGCTTTTCGAGAAAGTGAATGCATTAGGGGGACCATTTCAAAACCCTCAATTTCTTGAAATCCTAGTTTTCTCATATTGAAAACATTTTTGTTATCATCTTCTTCTTTTCTGTTTTCCATCATACAGTTTTTTTGAAAAGTATTGCATTAACCATGCACATTTCGTTTTATTAGAATCTCACAAGGAAAAGGGGAAAACTGAAATTAGGGGTAAATTCAATGAATAAGAAGGAAGAAATGGTAAAAAATGATGTCAATGCAACAATTTCATTACTGTCGTTGTCAACCCAAAATAAATTTGTAACCAACTCGTATTGGTGCAGGCAATCAGAGGCAATAAACACTGGGGGACTACCATATTCACCATGATCATCACCAGGACTGCAGCAGTATTGACATCATCTTTGCCTACCTGAATCCCACTGAACATCATGTACATTTTTGTTGGAAACAAATATATCACAATGACCCTTATTCATACTGTTGCCTTTGTCAGCAATGACCACCACGATCTGATGTCAGAAATGACCATTCTGCTTGAATCTTACTGAATAGTTCTAGTACCTTCAAAAAGTGTCCTTTGGTTGTGTTGAGGGGACTATAAGGAAGATCGGTCTCAGTCTCTCTCTCTTGCATGGGTGTGGAGGCATGTCTGCTCGCTTTAGTACTCAAAGAGATGACAGATAGGCTGAGATGTAGCTCATTGTGGGTGCCACTTTTTACTAGCTGATCACCAGTATGGTTGCCACTTACCTATAGTTTTTAAGTTTATGTTTCTTAGTGAATGCAATCGTTTTATTTGTTTTCTTCTTGTTGCCAAATTAGTGAATGATGTGAACTTGTTAATGATTAGTAGTTTGGTATTGTAATATCATCATATTGTTGTCTGACTACAGAGAATCTGAAACCTCTGTACATATCTCAGAGATAATGCATATGCCTTCCATATCAGAAATCATTGAAATGGACCTTATCTGAATATTAGTAGAGAATCTGAAATTAGTTTGCCTTGTGTAAATTATCGCCATTGTTGCAAGTGAATGATTTGTAACTTGGACAACATTTTTTTCACTGGAGTGTAGAATGCATTGGATCTACTGCGACTGATTGTTTTAGTATAGTTGGAAATTGAAGGTTTTTATTTTATTTTATTTTTTACCGGATGATGGTAAAAGCTTTATGTTTTGGCCAGTACTTACACTTGCATATCTATTAATACACACACACACAAACAAAGACTGCTTCCAGATCAATAAAAAAGCTAATGGACTTTGTTTTAAACTTGTCATTGATCAATACAGATTGCTACCAGATTCTCCTTTTTGCTGGTGGCTGATGGCTGATGGCCTTTGCTTGTTAGTTTGCTGCATCTGTTGGTCTGCTGCTGCCCTCGTGGCTAATGCTTGCTGGGCGGTGGCTGCTGCTGTTGCAATGTTGCTGTGAGGCGGCTGCTACTAGATGTTGATCTGCTGGATAAGTTTATGGGTGATTTTCATGTCGTTTTGCTTGTCTTTGTTAGTTTCATGTTTTCATTTTGTTATCTGTTGTTTATAATGTGGGTTCACAATTTGGATGTATTTGGGTATTTTAGTGACTTTACACTTTTAGGTTTTATACATTGCTTCTAAAAGTAGTATCAGTAGTGTTTTTTTGGCTTGCACGTCAACTTTAGGTGATTTCATATCAATGCTATTAGTTTGTAATAGTGGTGCCTGAGGGATGCCTCTTGTAAATCTGTAAATCTTATAAAAATATATAAATTATTTTCAATTATGTTTGTTAGTAAATGTGTCGGCAAAAGTTTATTTTTGTCCACTCATATTGTGTTGCTAGAAGTGTATTTTTTGCCAATGCCAATTTATCGTTGTCAAAAGTAAACCTTTATCAACAAACAAATCATTGGCAAATGGCAATATTTACTGACGTAAATGTGTTGCCAAAAGTGTATTTTTTGCCAATGCTAATTTGTCGTTGCCAAAAGTGAAGTTTTATCGACAAACAAATCGTAGGCAAATGACAACATTTACCGACGTAAATGTGTCGCCAAAAGTTTACTTTTGCCGACGCATATTTTGTTGCTAAAAGTATATTTTTTGCCCATGCAAATTTGTGTCGCGAAAAGTGCCATACAATCATCATATTTGAATGACTTTTATCGACGCAAGGCAAATTGCCGACGATGGAGGAAGGCTTTTACCGATGACTATGGTCGTCGCTAAAGGCATTACTTTTACCAACGCAATGATAATTTCGTCGGCAAAAAATTTTGCCGACTCACTTTTACCTACGGGTTGCCAACGTAGCTTTGTGTGTCGGCAAAACTCTTTGCCGACGAATTTTCCCTTTTAGCAACATATTTTGTTGCGTCGCAAAAAATGCAATTTCTTGTAGTGGTTGTTTGTTTTTATTTGATAAATAATCAAGCCTAGGGCTTTATTTGTATTTGAGTTAGAACTCATATTTTGTGTCCAAGTGTTGGATTGGAAAGATGTAAGCCCATAGGGCATTTAATTTGATGTTACATGTAATGTTTTTATTTAGTAATACTCTGATGAATGAATTAATAAATTGTTTTCTTTAAATAATGCATGTCGATGATATACATATAATGGGTTTATTTTGAGGGCGTTACAACCAGCTATTAAATAAATCAAATCAACCACAATTTCAATAAAAACATTTCGAAAACTCAAGAGTTTAAAACTTAAACAGTACCAAGGTTTTTGCAATGTGTGATTTAGTAGAAAACAGCCATACCATATAGTCTAAGAAGTAACTGCCATCAACTATTTGTCAAATCTTAATTAAAGATTATATTATGAGCTTAAGAAACTAGCCAATTAGATGAATATTGCAATGCACTGCACCCTATATTGGTCGATAGAGTTAAAGGGTTTTAGGATAGAATCTTGTCAAATACTCAAGGATCTAAGTTAATCTTACCCTAAAGAGTGCTGCTAATCATCTCCCAGACCTCTTTCAATTATTGTTGTTGCTCCAAGATTAGAAATTCTTTTATCAAGCTTGTGTCAATCACATTTTCTATTCAAACATAATGCGGGAAAATTTGACAAAATTATTTTGTATTTCCTTGAATTTTGTGTGTGTGTGTGAGAGAGAGAGACAGAGAAAAGTACATTGTTATTTTGTATTTCTTTCCTTTCAGTTCACTTCACTATTTTTTTTTTAATATATAAATATTTTCTTTCACTTTCACTTTCACTTTTCTACATTTATTTATTTCTAATCAAATAGACCCTTGGGAGGATTTAACTAAGCATATAGCCCCTTGACAGATCCAAAAAAAAAAATGCATTGAATACACCAACCTCAACACATTTTGAACCTCTCCTGCAAGAATCAATTCACTTTGGCCCACAAACATCTTTAAAACCTGTACAGCTTCCTCAAATCAAACCTTCACATAATACAAATGCCTTAACTGCTCTGTGTTCGGTCCACAAAAAATGATTGTGTCATAAACAAAAGACAAGTGAGATATTTTCTCCACTGAACCCCCATTGCTCCCAACAACTCTTGCTGTTTAACTAGTAAATAGAATCTTAAAATAATAACAATAATTATAAAATGAGTAGTAAATGCAGTTATTTTTATCCACTGATCTCTGCCAAAGGTGGATCATGAATGCACAAGGCTTTATATCCCTTACCCTCAACAAACAACTACTAATTAGTAGAAGTGGAAGCACACATGAGGTGTGTGCCAACCAACTAATAGGAAAAGATTCAAATTTCCTACATATGCACACATTCATTGAAGATAAAAATAATTGTGTCATCATCTAAAATTCTGTGTAGTTATCCACACTTCTCTATAACTAGCTGTTCACGGTTTCTTCTCAAATCACGCCTTCCTCCCCCTTTGCACTTATATTATTTTCTCTTCTATAACTGCCTATTCACAGTTTCTTCGCAAACCACATCTTCCTTTCTTGCTTAAATTGAAATTGTTTATGAAGTGCAAAATTTCTAATATACATTGTATGATTTAAAGGTCTTCAATATTCTCAAACTAAAGTAGTTGATTTATGGGAAATAAAATTATTGACACGACTACAAGAAGAAGGTAACACCAACTCTATATGTTAGTATCAACAAAGGAAGGGAAGTGTGCTTATCTATATTGAAGTGTTTTATTGATACAGCACTAAAATGTGTATCAATCTGAAAGTATGAAGTGTTTTGATTTGAGCTTGAGTCTCATATGTTTGTTGATATTTGAAGGACATGAACATGATATATGTAATTCACTGTTGTAAGTTTGGCCAGGTTCTGAGCCATGTTGATAAAATCGGAAAGTTAAACATGTGTTAAGCAATAGTGTCATGAGACTGTAAAATGAAGTAATTGATTATCTTGGTTAACCATCTGTTGAATGCTATTGCTTTATTCATTGCTTATATGTGGTTTAGTATATTTCTACTGGGCTGTGGCTCACCCTTTATGGGAACATCATTTTCAGGTCCAGGTGATAAGCTACCTCCCAGGACTTAGCTTGGAAGGATTTGGATTTTGAAGACTATTTTTAGTTGTTTGTTTTATTTGATGAATAATCAAGCCTAGGGCTTTGTTGGCATTTGAGTTCGAACTCTTATTTGTATCCAAGTATTGGCTTGGAAAGATGTAAGCCCATAGGGCATTTAATTTGATGTTCATGTAATGTTTATTTAGCAACACTCTGATGAATAAATTGTTTTCTTTAAGTAATGCATGTTGATGATATACATATAATGGGTTTATTTTGAGGGTGTTACATAATCAATCATGATTGCCAATCAAAAGATTATCTTTGCTGGAAAAGTAAAGGACCAGACTTCACAAAACATCCTCAACTAGACAAATGAAAAATCATATACGTAATAGTTCCCAAGAGGGATCACAGTAGAATCTCTGGATACTAAAGCCGGCTCATACAACTTTATCGCTCTATGTAGATCTTTCAAATGACCGCATTTGGGTTGCCTTAATAGTCCTAGACCAAAAGAGGAAATAACCCTTAAGTTTATTGAAGAACATATAATCTTTAAAATTTTATGTTTTCTTGAACCATCTACATCTCCTTATCAGGAAAAGGAATGACATTTTCTCACGAGTCATGACAAAAATGATTGTAGAGGAGCTATTAACATGCCTGTCACAATCATTTTATTGTTGAACTTTCACTTTCATGTTGAGTTCCCCATCAACTGATAATATTCAGCTTCTCTAATCAATTTGATCACCATCATAACCACTAACAACGTCACAATTATGGAGGGATATACCTATTACTTAAAAATAAATAAATAAATGTCAACAGGAGCAACTTTACTCTATGATAAACCCAATTCAATCAATCACCTGTCTGACATCAATTTTATTCTATAATTATATTGGGTGTACATTTATCTATAGGAAGATGCATAAACTAAAAATATGAAAGGCTCTTCTAGGGGTGTGAGAGTCATGTACCAATTATATTAAGGACAATCTAGTGTGCTACAAGTAAAGTCACAAGAAAAATTAATAATATAGAAATATATTCTGATTGAATTCTAAGTTCATATTGAACGAACTCCTAATTCACAAAGTTGAGAACAAAGGTGAGTCAATGTTACTTTCTTAATCGACAAAATTCTTTTGAAAGTGATTATAGGAGTGTGAGATTAATCTATCTACAGACTTCTATGTTAATCTTATATAAAGGACACTCTACTGTGCTACAAGTAAAATTAAGAAAAGAAATGTCAATAACATAGAAATATATTCTAATTGAATTCATTTATTTTAGTTCTGCCTAGTTAGTTATTCCATAATTGTAGTTCTTTTTTTTCCCCCATAATTGTATTTCTTGCTTTAAATTAAGGGGAATGCTAATTAATTTTGTAGAATATCATTAATAG